TACGTTTCCAATGAAACAAAACAAAAATATCGAGGGCATAAATGGAACATAAAAAGAATGTTACTGAAACCAATTTTTTGAAACGTTTCATTGGAAACGTATTTTGGGGAGGACATCTTGGGCTTCTAGAACGTTACCAGAACGTTGCATGGATTTTTTATGAAACGTTTCAAGAAAAATGGAAACGTTTCTGAAACATGTCAGTAACTGAAAAATGTTTAGTGGGAAGTGTTATTTATATTTAAAATTTGGTAGGTAATTTTTTATAATTATTTAATTTATGTTGTTTTTCTGTGTGTCTAACATACGTACCCAATTAAATTAAAAAAAACTACTTAAGAATATCACAAGTACATAATAACAGACTATTAAGCTGTATTTTTCGATTTATGATTAAAATGCTAATTTGAAGTAAATTGTTGCTTTTACGTAAGTAATGTCAAATTTATTTTTAGTTTTTATAACGTACTTCATAGAATTAGTACAGTTATTATTATATTAGATAGAAATAATAAGACATTTCATTTTAAAAATGTTTACCAGTACTAAACAGATCTATTGATTAAAAATATAATTTAGAATTCCTACTTTCCTGTATTTCCGAATGAAGAATGTAAAAAACTACTGGGTATTCCATTTTTCTATATTTTTTGACACACATGAAAGGCGCTACGACTTTATTTTTTTTTTGTTATAAAAATGTCATCGTTAAGATCGATTTTTTTTTAATATTCCAACAATATTTAAATAACCTTCAATGAAATAAGAATTGTTTGTCAGTCAATCTAAGGCCCGCACAGGTTCCTGTAACACGTATTTTAAAATTACTTGTTCTAGAATAGACCTTTTTAGTAGTGACGTCACATACGCCAAATAATAGGCAATCCCATAGTGAACATTGTCATCGACTTTCGACCTTATGTACATACTTTAGACACAAATGCCAAAAAAATGGCTTGTTTGTCTTGACCTTACAACAAAACAAAAGAAAATACGCTAAAGATGACACCGATACACGATCACACCTGCGTATGAGGCTATTCTTTCCGAGCATGCGCATTAGAAATAACACGGCTAATGTTAAATGTTTACTTTATTTAATGTTAGGAATATTCTTCTATATCGTTTTTTGTCAGATTTAAGTACATTAGTGTACCTATTCTACAAAACACGTGTTGGTTGTTAAATCCTTGTAAAAAATAAATTAATTTGAAATTGTTCATTTTTATAGTATCTATGTAAATAGTACACAAGGGTCAGATTCGATCTGTACAATTTCAACTATGACAATTTGTTGCGGGTTGCCTGAATATCTGACGTCACACTAAAAAAGAGTCTATTGGGCCAAAATACCATAGCCTAAAATTGCATCATTTGCAAGAGTGTTTAAATTTTTGAAACACGTCGCAAATACGCAAATAGGAAGGATACTTCACATTTAAAAAAAATATTGGCATAGAAATACTCGCCAATGAATTTTACGAACTTACTGATTACATTCTATTTAAGACTGTATTTGCAATAAAAAACTTGAATATATATATATATGGCTCAATTATCATATTTTGTGCTCCTTATAAATATACCCTCTATAACTGTAACGCTCTGTACTGACCCTATAATTTAAAATCTTAATCAAAAATATCCAATTAACAGAGAAAACAAACCTTTAAACAATTAGACAATTTCAGATAATTTTTTAGTGGTTGTTTTTTTCAAGAATCAAGCAAGCTTTCATTCTATGACTACTTTGTTTCATCAAACCCACTTACGAATGTAATTTATCAATAAAAAGAATGCAAACGAAATTATAGTAATTACCGTGTAGGGTCCATAGGAATAACACCCGCTGACGACTCTGAGACAACCTTAACATTAAAATTGTTGGACCTCATCCCCCCTCAGCACCGTGTAGTAAATAGGCGCGCTTTATATAAGAGGAAAAACTGTCTCGGTGTTAGACTACACCACTACAGATTGTTCAAAATCGTAGAAAATGCTTGTAGCGTTGTTTTACTTTTGTCCCTATTTTGCCGACTGTGAAAAATATTAGAAAGTAAATTGCGCCAAAAGCATCAGCCAACTTTTATCTCACACAAAAATACCTTGGTGAAATTCAAATCAACTTTTTAATATATATTTTAAGGGGCTATAACTGCGTTTAACAATTTCAGAAGATATGTTACAGATTTTTTTTATTTTGATTATTATTAGAGTTTTTTTACGTGTCGTCACGAATCCCTTTTACTACAAGAAATTAATTATATATGACCCTAATAGTATAAATGAATTAAAAAGTGCGACAAGTAATCAATAAGCTTTTACAGTGAAATTAAAAAACATTAATTACCATGGTTAGCATCATTAACCTTTAAATTTTGTCTTTGTAAACAACACAATAGAAATAAATCACGTGTCACTTCAAAAAATTTCTCGAGGCAAAATTTACTACCGCACTGCGAGTATCAAATATTTATAATTTTTTAATTTTTTTAAATTGTCGTGTGTCCTATTTTTTTGTTCATCAAATTCAATAAAAAAAAATTATTAGTTCGTTGATATTTATTTTTAGAGGTCGCTCGAAAACAGGTAGGTACACTACTTTGAAAGTTAAAATAATTAGTGACCTTTAGAAATTAAAAACGAATATTTTTTTTTTCGTTTCTCTTGTGAAAATATGTTAGTTTTAAGAGCCCCCTAAAAAAATCAGCTCAAAAAAATATTTTTAGAGGTCGCTCAAGATTTTTAAAAATTTCCAAAATCGTCAAAATTTATTAATTTTTTTATTTTTTCTCGTTATTGTATCAATTTCTAGGTTGAAAAAAATCTCGATTCTGAAAATTTCAAATCAATATTTTATCTATGTATTAGGGTGGCCCAAAAAAAAAACGAATATTTTTTTTCGTGTCTTGTGAAAATATGTTAGTTTATCATGTTTTAGGAGCCCCCTCAAAAAATCAGCTCAAAAAAAATTTTTTCAGATGTCGCTCAAGATTTTAAAAAATTTCCAAAATCGTCGAAAAAAATATCGATTCTGAAACTTACAAATCGATATTTTAATTTCTAAAGGTCACTGATAATTNTTTTTTCTCGTTATTTTCTCATTTTGTGCGTTGAAAAAAATCTCGATTCTGAATATTTCAAATCGATATTTTAATTTCTAAAGGTCACTGATAATTATTTTAACTTTAAAAGTAGTGTACCTAAAATGTTTTCGAGCGACCTCTAAAAATATATATCAACGAACTAATAATTTTTTTATTGAATTTGATGAACAAAAGAATATAATAAATCACGAGACACTTAAAAAATTTCTCGAGGCAAAATTTCCTACCGCACTGTTGAGTATCAAAAATTTATAATTTTTTAATTTTTTTAAATTTAAGTGTCAAATTTTTTTCGTGATTTTTTTCTATTCTTTTGTTAATCAAATTCAATAAAAAAAATTATTAGTTCGTTGATATTTATTTTCAGAGGTCGCTCGAAAACTGAAAGTTAAAATAATTATGACTGACCTTTAGAAATTAAAATATCGATTTGAAATTTTCAGAATCGAGATTTTTTTCCAACTTAGAAAATGATAAAATCAAGAAAAAAATTTTAAAAAAATTCAATTTTTGACGATTTTGGAAATTTTTTAAAATCTTGAGCGACCTCTAAAAATTTTTTTTGAGCCGATTTTTTGAGGCGGCTCTTAAAACATGATAAACTAACATATTCTCACAAGAGACACGAAAAATAATATTCGTTTTTTTGGGCCATCCTAATACATAGTCAAAAAAAATTTTTTTAGAGGTCGCTCAAGATTTTTAAAAATTTCCAAAATCGTCAAAAATTGAATTTATTTAAAAAAAAATTTTTCTCGTTATTTTATCATTTTCTAGATTGAAAAAATCTCGATTCTGAAAATTTCAAATCGATATTTTAATTTCTAAAGGTCACTCATAATTATTTTAATCGATTCGAAATTTTCAGAATCGAGACTTTTTTTCAACCTAGAAAATGATAAAATAACGAGAAAAAAAAAGTAAATAAAAAATATTCAATTTTTGACGATTTTGGAAATCTAAAAATCTTTAGCGACCTTAAAAAAATTTCATTTGAGCTAATTTTTTGAGAGGGCTCTTAAAACATGATAAACTAACATATATTCACAAGAGACACGAAAAAAAAAATTCGTTTTTTTTGGGCCACTCAAACATAGGCATTGTCGAAACCAAGAGAGTTGTACGAACAATATTTGGATAAGAGAGATAATACAATCCGAAACATCGCCTTAATGTTAAAAATGCTGTCACCGCCGTTCTTGGTGGTGAAAGTTCAAAATATTTGAAATTATTCTATTTCCGTGGCTGAAAACATACATAGTAGGGTAGAAATTAAAATATCGATTTGAAATTTTCAGAATCGAGATTTTTTTCAACTTAGAAAATGATAAAATGCTCAAGATTTTTAAACATTTTCAAAATTTGTTCAACCTTTGTAGTCTCACTTAAAGTTTATCTTTTTATGTATTTGGGTTTAAAATTACTATAAAAAAAATTTGCAGTACTTGTCTAACTGAAGTTAGATTAAAAAAAACGAATTTAAAGATCTAATAGCGGATAAAAGTGAGCTATTTTAGACAAATTCAAAGTAGATAAGTAATAAGTAAGATCATCTTTATGCTAAATGCTTTTTGACGAACTCCCATCCAAATGATATTGCTAGAATTATATTTTAATTCCAACAGAAATATTTCGAGATGAAATTGTGCTATATTTTTTAGCAATGGATGCAAGTGGAAGACCTGAAACAGGTTTCATCTACGGTAACAATTTGTGGATTGGTTCCCACTCACAGTGTAGAGACATTTCCAATACCAAGCCGTTAGAAATCAACAATGAAAAAATTGAACATCTTAACACTCCTTACGATTACCCGCCATATTCCATGGGGTTTGCCATGGTACACATTAGGCATAACAGCACATTGCAGCGCCATACTCAGCTACCGCTTGAGGTTGGTATATTTTTTCAATAATAATCATGACATAATTGTTTAAATGGTATCGACAGCTAGACTACCCGATATCTTCTTCAAATGATAAATCTTCCCAACGTACCTACCGATTGTTTACCATAAAGATGATTTTGGGATACGTTCCTAAGTTTATTTGATTATAAAACTGTTGCTGAAATGTTGAGTTGTTCACATGTACATTTCCATTTGTCTAGTTGCCAATATAAAAAATATAAAAGCAAAACAAATTGAATAATGTTTTTAGCTTCCCTTGACATCTCATTTACATTTCTCTCGAACAGATTTCTTCCATTGGTAAAAGGAAATAAATAATTAATGAAATACACCCAATGGAAATTTTATTAAATAAGGAAAACAATTTGTAAATGGGTACGATTATTTTATTTACAAAAACAAATCAAATATAACTATAATCCAAATCCGCAGTTTTCTTTAAGACATCCTGTACTAGAAATATAGTCGTACATTAATTTTTTTCATATGAAATACTGTTTCTCTTACAGTGGACTATTCAATTGGGCCTTTGTGTTCCACACTCGTGCACTGACAATGATATATTAGCTTTAGCTGAGAAATATTTTAACGGCGACTATTTTGAAGAAAAATATATTTATAACATAAGTATGCAAGTTGTAGAAGTAAAGAAATTGATTGATAATAACTTATGGTTACTTGAATTACCGAAAACTATTGCTTTCAGGTGAGCAACATTAATATTATAATTGATAATGCAGTTCTACGTCTGTAAAAATCGTATTTTTCTGTAGTTCTTGTTGAAAAATTAAGAATTCTAGTCAGAGTGAAGCATAGACATTGTTTTTAAATATCTCGAGTTTTAGCTGAATAACAATAACCACGATAATTGTCCAGAAGTGAAATTTAATAAAAAGAACTTATTTTGTTTTAGCGTGATATTAGCCACAATATTTTTTCTCGCAATTGGAGGTACGATATACGACGTTAAACGATATAATTTAAATAAACGTATTCTAACTGGCTACAATGTAGCCTGTAATGGAAAATCTACAAGTCGTAAGTTCTATTTTTTTAAATTAAATATATGTACTTACACTAATGATTCATATGAATTCTACCACTTTCTAAAACAAGAATAATAATAGTATAAGAAGTAGTTTAGAAATAATTAAAGATCCATAGTAATAGTTTAAATTTTAAATGAATTATTTTACTATTTTACAAAACAAAAAAAACAAATAAAATTAATATTTATCCATTTGAAAACTTTTGGTTCTATCTGAAGAACTTCTATAAGATTGTAACAAAAATAAACTAACAAATGTCATGGGTATATTGAATTTAACAAAATAGTGGGGATAAGGCATTCAAATTATTTTTATTCAACTCCAACGAAGTATTTTAGAAAAAATACTCATTATTTGTGACTTTTGTACCCTTGAGGTTTGTTGTTTCAATTTTGATACGTTAATTCTTTATAGCTTTGACTATTCCAGTTACAACAGTTGAACTAGTTCCAAAGAGCTCAATGGACGAACTACCTCGGCAGAGTAGCCTCGGCGAAATATTGCAATGCTTTTCAATTTACTCCAATATAAAGAACCTGGTGAAGACCAAATTATCAACCGATACTGTGGGGTGTATTCATGGTCTCAGGTTCCTGAGCATGCTCTGGGTTGTAGCAGTGCATTCTCTATTTTACCAAGCTGACTATATAAAAAATGTACCCTTTGTTTATCGTTTATCGGAGGACTTTATGGCTCAGATTTTGAGCAATTCCAGTTACTGCGTTGATTCCTACTTGTTTTTGAGGTAAGAACGTTAATTTTTCATATAGGTAGGTGTGTTAAACTCTAGAAGCCATGCAAGGTAAATGTTAGATTACCGAATGGAAGAGAAATCGGAATTGTCGTGGTATTAACAGTAACAAGTAGAAGCAATTTGTAGATTTATTGAATACGGAAATATATGAAACGGGACAGACCATTTCTGCACGCGACTTCAAAAATATATGTGGAACATATCCAAGAACTAGTTTACTGATATTTCAATATTTGTTTTAGTGGATTTTTAGTTGCCTACTTGTATTTCAAATCAAAGAATCCTTACGAACAGCCTAATAAACCAATAAGTTATTTAGTGAAAATCAGGGAGTATATCATGATGTGGATCAATAGATATTGTAGGTAAGAGTTTATATGGGAGATCTTAATAATACTGTGAAGGCTTCACCGTCAGTATTGTTGTTGTAAGTATCTACCCTTTTTACTCTTTTAGATTGACCCCACCATACATGATGATTCTGATATTTACAAACATAGTGTATACATTTTATCGGGAAACTTCTTCATTGACGTCTTCAGAGAGAGCGGACATCGCGTGTGATAAGTACTGGTGGAGGAATCTGTTGTACATCAACAATCTCTATCCAAGAAAAGAGATGTGCATGAGTTGGTCTTGGTATCTGTCCCTAGACACACAATTGTTTACAGTCACGACGCTCCTATTAATTCTGTCTACAGTGTAAGTAAAACCATATATGAAGTGATAGACATAACAGAGTATAAAGAATCTAATTTCTTGCCTAGGGTTTTTAAGTTATCTGCAGCTGCTGTAGTATCCCTTATACTAACTACCATAATAGCAACAGCGTGGAAATGCTACTCAATTGGGTACATTCCAACGTAAGTGTCCTCTCAAATGTTAAGAACAGTTAAATAAGTTTTGCTTTTTATTTTTTTAGAATGGATGAACAGCTAGTCCAGATGGATGCCATATATGATCTCCCTTGGAACAGGATGGGGCCATATTTAATTGGTGTCGTAACAGCGTACATCCTAAAAGTGAAGTTGGACAATAAACTGACTTTAACAAAGGTAAGATGGTGAAACGTTACAATGAGCTTATGCTGATAATAATAGGTAAATGTTTGAGGAAAAGTTCTGAAATTTCGACAGAATAGTACCATTGCATTGTGAGAAATATCGAGGAACTAATATAAACACACACATATGTGTAAGCGAAAGTGAGAATGAGAATCTGTCGGAGAAAGATCTGAAAAGTAATTACAGTTTATGGTGTAAACAAACGTTTCCCATGAGAAAATTTTTATTTTAAAAATTAGTTTAGTACTGCAAGGGAACAATTAGCTATTCTTTAATTAAAATCATTTATTGCGATTTAATTATTACATTATCAACATTTAACAGCATGCAAAAAAATCTATTTCAAATATGTATAAAATATTTTATCCACAATCACCTTATAATCGGACCTTTATCCACACATATGAACCGTGTAAAGTGATACTTTATCCACTACTGGAATAACTTAAACTTTATTTTCTAGAAAATGCGGATATCTCTGTGGACCATCTTCTCTGCATTAAATATATGGATATTATTCACTTTATATACTCGACAGTTGTCTGTAGAATTTTCAGCAATGTACATGGGAGTATCCAGAACTCTTTGGGGAGTAGGATTGGCCTGGATTCTAATTGCTTGCTGTACTGGAAATGCCAGTAAGTCACTAGTTGTATTAACACAAAAACTAAGCTATGCTCTGTTCCTTAACAGTTTTACCACTGATGCACAAGGAAGAGCTGATTGTTTACACTTCTATCTTCTAAAAAAATATAGTGTTAGTTTTCAACTGTTTTTGCTGTGAATGGAATTGCATCAACCAGACCAATAACAATATTAAAATTTACTCGCTAATCACGATGAACTAAATCCAATTGAATTAATATACCTGTAGGTGCAGGTAAATGGAGCTACTGATTTTTCTTAATCATATCTATTTTAGGAGCTTTGGACAAACTGTTATCGTTCAGAGGATTCATTCCACTGAGCAGGATAACATATTGCGCCTATCTGCTGAATCCTGTTATGGCGAATATGATCTACCAGTCGGCAGAATCTGCATTTGAGGCATCCTTAGCAGAACTAGTACGTACAAGATTTTGTTTAGATACGATTCAATATATCTAATACCAGGGTGTAAGGTACGTCGAAGAGAGTTAAACTTACTCGTTTTTCAGACATTTACGATACTTGGCATCACATTAATCTCTTTCTACGCGGCATTCCTATCTTTTGTCATGCTGGAATCACCATTTATACTTTTAACGAAAATAGTTCTCAGGAAAATGTCAACCAGGAAACCCCAGCCAGAACCAAAACCACAGACAGATGATAATGATAAGGCTATTTAGTTAATTAGTTATTTATTATGCTTGTGTAAATAATTATTTATTGTCTTTTTATGCATAATGTTTTATACCTTTGGGGGCATTTTAGAAATTGATCCTCATGGCTATTATTTAATAAATGTTATACTCTTGAAAATGTAATTGTTTGCCAATTCCTAGTAATATATCTTTGTTTATTATCCTGTATTTATATGGGAGTCGTTGACCAAATGATCCAGTATACAAACCGCTCCTGGTATAGTCTTTGCGACCGAAGAGCTAAGCAGTATGTACCAGGTTGCAGCAACTCGGCATTGAAATATTTGAAAAACTTGTTCCCATATTTATTTACCCATACCCATATGCAGGTTTGGTTGAACTAAACGTGGAGATAGTAGAAATGTACCTATGCGTCCAGTCAAAGAATGAGTGCGCAGATAAACGGCGTACAAACACAGCCGCACTGGGCGACCGGCCATAAATTTCAATTGTTGAAAAATTGTCTAGCAGTGCAGTGCAGTGCATTTTAATGAAATTGGAAATGTTCATTGATATGTCATAACCAAAATTTACCATCAATATAATAAAATTAAAATAATTAACATATGTTGTTGGCCAAATGAACATATAATAGAAATTTTCTACACATTATATACAAATTATTATTACCTGTTACCTTTTAGGGACGCCTATGAAACTCATACATGTTCAACGCACTTCGGAAAAACCATATCTTTGGAATTCATACGACTTACAGAAAGATATTTTCCCTTTCCAATTTTCTCATGAAAAACCTAGAATTATTTGTATTCGATATAGGTGCCTGCATCTATCAATTTCTTCATTTATTTTCAATTATTCAAAAATTTGTACATGGCTCCATCTGTCGTGCTGACTCCCACAAAGAGCGAAACATAATGTTTTAATTGCTAGTGTTGCGAGAAACAACTCCTCCGGAACTGACGAACGATCCTAGCTGTTGCACTAGATGTTGCGAGTTGGTATAATTCATGTCGGTCGGGGGATATAGCGCGCGGAGTAGTTGTTTCTCGCAACACTGGCAATTAAAACATTGCTCAAAAATTTGTTTTGGTGTTAAATTAATGTACGGCCCAGGCGAACATATTTATTTATTATGTGGCATATAATCAGACTAATCTAAATATACATCAATAATATAGTCAACAGTAATACAAATACTTATTGTAAAATTTTCAGTTGTACACGATAACAATATACAGCAGGATCATTATATAAACCTTTATATTCAGGACAAGTAGGTGTGCGATACACAATGAATTCCATTTGTCTCACATATTTATAAAAACAATCAACACGAAACAAGCAATTACGTTTAGTTTTGATATAAAATTCTAATATGAACAACGATATAGTTATAACGGTGAGCAATATAACAATAACGATGCTGCAGGCCGCCGAACAGTCCCACACACTCGACCTCTTGGAGGACAGAAAACTGGATTTTGTGCCGTCATCTCAGTTAACGCTTAAATTATTTCCCTGAGGATGTCACTGCGCCAGGTGACGTAACGTGTGGCAGAGAAAGCGATGAGTAATAAATATATCACCAGGTCGAGGTCAAAACGTTGAAACTGCTCGGGAGCTCCACGACATTTAGGCAAATTTTAATCACAATACTACCTCGTTGTCTACCATATGAAGTTTAATAATAACAAATGTATTGTCCATTATATACTGGCTACAGATATTACAACATCGACATTGTGGATTATCAATTCTTATGACTTGGAACATCGACTGCGGAAGCGATTGGTTCCCGCGAGACCAGCACGCTTACCGACCAGAACCGAGTTCTATGGATTAGTACTAATTTATCTACACAACCACACCAAGTGCTGGTCCCACGGGTAGGCGTGGTAAAATATTCCATACTCAAGAAAAATATTGGTCAAACGTATCGCGAAGCAGCGTCTTTTTCTATACAGGTTCGGAAAGTCCTCATGGTACATCGGCCGTTACGTGAGAGCGATAAAGTAAGTCCTAGAATTGTATAAGTAGTGACATCTATTAAAGAAAAGGCAAACGACGAAATCAAAGATGACCACCGGTCGCTGAATTACAAGTGGAAGTGGATCTTATTTGTGGAAGGGCGAAACGGGCGGTGACTATGAGACGCCTTCATTATAGCCATCCTTCTCTATCGCACGGATTTCTATGACTTACTTTATCGCTCTCACGTAACGACCATGGGGACTTTCCGAACCTGTATATGAATGTTTCTGCTTCTTGGGTTACTTCAAATTGTTACTTGCAGTAAAAACATTTTTCTTGCGTACAGTGAGCTACAATATGTGGTCAGATTGTGTTGAATACGACAGAAGTCTCTCCATGATATGTTTAGATACAAAATTTGAATATACGTTTCTTGATACCACCTCTCACTCAACTAAAGCTAATTTCTGTACATATTTGGTGCAAAATAGTGTGGGCAATACATAGAAGAATCCAAAGATCACTTCGCAAAGTCCTCTGTTGTAATTTTAACACTTCGATTGTTTAAATTTTATTCTATCAATGATTACTCCATGCTGCCCAGTTTGGCATTTAAAGCAACTTCAAGTAAATGTATAAGATGAAGTATAAAAATACATAATAAACATGTAAACAACCAATTGTATCAGATTCTAAAAACTAACCATGTAACAAAAATTTTAGGCTAACAGTATTAATGACTCTAAAGACATTTTTCACACGATCTCCAGGTGACGTCATAATTCCGATTATTTAGGTTTTTCAATTGTTTTACGTCCCTGTGCTCCAGGTGGTTGTGGAATCCTCTTAGACACTATGGACAAGCCTAAGCTTGTCAAAAATAAATACAAGCCACTGGAATCAACGATATCTACGACAAAGTGTCTTGTACTGAAGGACGGGATGTCATGTCCAGTGTTTCAGTTTCAAAATTGTACAGAATTTTGTCGCAGATATCTCCTATTCATACCAATTTAAAGCTAAATATAGTTATAGTTAAGTACGTGGTGTGGGTATGTAAAAAATGATGTTCCTCTTTACTCGAACGTCTGGGATTCCTGCTGAACCAGTTTGAACCGCCTGGGGCTTTTGACAGCCACGGAACCATGTCCATCGAAAGAAATTCGGCCTTTGGTTTGGAGATATTTCTTGATGTATCGCGACACCAACGCTTGAGGTCTGATTTGCCACTCGTTCATCACCTCCTTTGGCGTGCACACCTGGAAAAAAGCAAGAAGTTGGGTTTATACGTCGCTTCGCCCAAGAGTTATAATTTTTTAAGATTCTCGTTACCTGATCGCCCTTCAATCTGTCCAGAAGCGTGACGCAGACATCAGCAGCCCTGATCCCTGCGTGGTGCGTTAGAGCGGCAAACGCTAGAGCTTCCATTTCGATATTTTTAACTCCGTTGTTCTTCAGATGTTGTAGGTACTCCAGCTTGTCCGCCTCGGTGTAGTCGCAAAAAGCACCGTCGGTTCTACCTTGACCTACGCAAAAACGATATTTGCTAGCGGGACCGTCATTGTTAGATTTCAAATGTCAGTCAACTGTGAAGATGACACAGGAGAATGGTAAAATATAAGCTATTTCCTTGTCGGACTAGTATATACACGCTATTGTACGCGCTAGTATGCAAATAATATATTTAGCGTACTATGCGGCGTCCGTATAGTTGTAAAAAACGATTTCGACTCGGAAGTAGAGATCTTTTAATATCTCATGAGCCGCGAAATGCGCGAAAGGCGTGGCGTATCCCCATAATTCTTCTAATAAGCACGTTGTGAAAACATTGACTCAGAATTAGACCACTAGAAATGAGCTAAGGCGTTCGGGCATCAATAAAGTCAACTGGCGAACGTTCGTTATATATATTTTTATTGTTTAAATTAAAATAATAAAGAATAGGGCATTTTATTATGATATTTGTAATCGGATCAAAGGCTTGTTTACGCTAGAGCTCGAGAGAGACTGTGAATAATAGGTGCAATGTTTTTAGGACGTAGAATAATTTAGGCGACGGTCGGAATTATGTTTCTGCGCATATGAAGGTCAAAGCTCATAAGATTTTAAAACATCTCTACTATTTTTTCTACTCTCTACGTTCAGTTTAGTTTAAAATAATCTAAATCTAAAGAATATTCTGTTCTGTTATTTCTAAGAATCGGTTTTCAAGGGTTCATTGAGGGGTATGTACCTGCTTGGGACAATAATTACATAACATGCACCATCTTACCTTCATAGAAATCATCGGCACACATAGTGGTCCCTGTTACGGTTTCATAGGGATCGTCTTTGTCTGCAAGGGCCTTTAATTCTCTCACGAGTCTCCTGTCGAATTTGGCAGGTCTTTTCACTATTTTTCCTAACATTGGCTGTAAAAACAACGAAGGTAAGTAGTATTCATTTCACAGTAGGGTTGACATAAATAGATAAAAAAGTTTAACATAAAGCTAAACAAAAATCTTTAAGCATTACGTTGTTGTCGAATCTCTGGGGAAACGGACTCTGCTCGAGTGGTAAAAACTAAACAATGTGGCGTCATCTAGCAATCATAAAATAGTTCTTTTCTTTTATTGTTTTATGCACTGTTCTGCGCATTGTAATTCTGAAATGACCAGCACAGTATGTAGCTTCATTTCATGAAAATTTAGATTTTTTTTGGAAATACTTCCAAAATCACATTAAAACAAAGTAATTAACTATACAACTTCAAACACCTACTACATTACAATGACGGCGACGGTTCCGAGCGCGTTATATTCAACTTTTGTTCTTAATGGCCATACTTCAAAGTTTGTAAACCGCCACCCACGACAGACAAGATGAATGACCTCCACGTATCAGTTGTTTGCAATTTTGGCCTGGGTGAATTATTTCCTATTCTCAGACTCGGGTAGCTATCAATCAACCACACAAGAATGTAATGTACGAGGCTGCCAAGCGAAAAAAGCGTGTGTATAATTTTTCAAGGTGAGTTCTTGGAAATATTGAGGACCATGATGATGTAACTTAAAAAATAGACATTATTCTAAAAGCATAAGCTCTTAAACTTGTTGATGAAGAAATAATTAGCTTTTTTCTTAACCGATTGAAGAAGCAAGTACTAATTTAAAAACATGAAATAAGAACGTTTCGTCAAAAGCACCTGAGTGCAGTGTCATTTGTTGGAGAAAATTAATCAAGAATTATTACGTGAAACTTAGGCCGATCCTGCACCATCCCACTTAACCAACTGATCAAATGTTTTTTTGACAAGGATTAAAACTAAATTTAATCCTAGAAAATAAAGATTAAAACACACGTTTAATACAGGATGCAAAAAAATACGATAACCAGGATTCCAGTTGAATTAATGCAACTTATCTCTGGGAAGGACATTTAGTTATCAGAATACACGACCGATTTTAAGTGCTAATAAATTGGCACGTATTAAATCCGCATATATTACACGCGAATTCACTTTAAACACCTCTTATCAAAGTAGGCAAACAAAGGTCGGGCTATAGAACAATTTACGATCGGTTTATGAGAGTTAATCTAGCAGGTCTGCATAACCTAACCTAACAATAGATAATTGGATTTCGGTGTAAACAAGCATTCGGTAACCGTTTTAAAATCCAATTTAGTCGGATTACATGCAGTCGCGGCGCACGGATTTAATAATAAATAATCGTGAAGGTATTAAAGCCATTTTGGAATAAAAGTATGTCTTGAACGAATTAAAATTAATATAATTAGTTAAGTTAGTACTCCAAAATTCATAAAACTATGTCAGTCATTAAGAGTTTTTTTTCAGTTTAAATAACAAATACATGTTTGTATCAAGAATATGAAATGTTCCATGAACCATGTTTATACAGGGTGATTCAGTCATAATGTCATTAATTTTAACCACGAATGCGAAAGGCCTAATAAAAACGGAAAATCAACAGATCACATCGGCAGACTATAGGGCGTTCGAACATTGAAGCGAAACAGCTGATTTCCCAAGTCGTCTTGAATTTTGCAATTGATTTCAAAATCAAAGTGCAGCGGAACTTTATTAACAAAGTGCTATGGACGTATGAGTGAGTGTTTTTTAGCTGTACTGCCATTTTCAATACGGAGGTACCATACTACTCTTTCTTGCCTTATGACATTATGTATGTATCACCCTGTATAACATTATTTCTTATCTTGAGATGGTCTATTCCTTTACCAAGTAAAGTTTGGCGTGTGCAGTTCAGGATCCTTTATGTCAATTAAATCACTTACTAAAAAATACAAAAAATAACAAAATTAAATACGTTTGCTGTTGCAAAAACTGTTTGCGTGTGTCCTTGAATACATATAAAACAAATTTCCTGTAATAATCGCTATGACCTCATTATTACAAATTTTGATAAAATTTCAATGGCAACACATTCACGTAAACGATATAAGCAGTTTATCTTTTTGCGTAATATTATTAAGCATAAAAACAAACATCAGCAAATAAATAATAACGTATTTACTAATCAACAAGCAATCACTGTTTATTTCAAATCCATCAAAAGTTAAAGAATTTGATGGCGATGCATTGGTCAAAGAAATTATTAGATTGAATTTTTTAATATTTGAAGGTAACAGACTTTATATATTTTTGCATAATTTAAACTACAGAGTGTTATGTTGAAGCTGTAATAACTTTATAACTTACTTAGTTTTCCCTCAAAGCTAGTTAACTATTATAAAAAAAACTGATGAAGTATATCAGCAAAAATGTATTCGTTACACGCAAATGAGCAAAATAGACAGAAATAATACGGTCATCCACAATGTCTTATTGCTTAAATTACCAAAAAAATATCAAATCTTCGGCCAAATGAAAATTAAACAGCCGAAAAGTTTACGAGAGATCTGCCAAAATGAAATGTATTCAGAATGATCAAACACTGTATGGCTGTAATACAATGTTCGATTGTTTATTTGGTATTTTGTACTTACCACTGCATAGAACCGGTTCAGCATGCCATCTACGGCGTCGTCGGAAATTACAACCGTGCCCCCTTCTAGTCCTATCCCACCACAAGTTCCAATCCGGAAGAAAACTGGGTCCCTGCATTTCGCGTGGTACATCAATTTGATTATTTCGTGTAACAGAATGCCGATGGAAGGCACACCCATACCATGCTGTAACAAAATAGTTATCTTGGTTAACAGATCGATTACGTTTTGCTTCATTTTAATTTTTAATGCTAGGAGTAATAAGTGAGCATCAGTTTGGCCAACGAAAAATAATTGAGATGGAAATAAGCATAAGGAAAAAATTGTGACAGACTTACACTAATTGATAGTACAGGTCCAACTTTGTACATACTGTATCGGTAGGAATACTGACTAATGTCCATAAGTTGTGTCCCGGTGGGCAACCTATGACCAATTTCTTTCATAATGTAATAAGCGAAGTGTTCCATTCGCTTTGGGGTCCCGCCCATGCAGACGAACTGAAAAAAAACAATTTAAAATTTTATAGGATACAATTAATTTTATAAAACAGTAAGCATACTATTAATTAATAATTAATAGTAAGCTTTAAGACACGTTTCAACATGAAATTTTTTATTTTTCTGTTGGGAATAATGCTATACTAAGTGATAGGAGATATTTTGTTTTTAAAATGGACTTTTTTTTCAGCATCTAGATGTTTCCATTTCATTTACAAAACTTTCTGATTATAATTAATGTTTTTCGTAAATAGACATTGGTCTGTCGCACAATCTTATTTATTTATAATTTTCAAGACTTGTTCCAGTTTTTTTTTCAATGATTAAATCGAGGATTTTTGACCTTTGACATTATAAGGAAATAATTATATCAACTAAATTATACAATTTAAAATGTAATTCTGTTTGAAATGTGAGTGTCTAATATGTACAATGTTACAAACCAATGGTACATATTCTAAATATTTATACTCGTACATATAAAAGGTTTATTAAAAATTTGTTGCAATTTTACTTTTTATTGCGAAAACTAAAATTAGAATATTTAATACTACACATTATCATTATACTGAATACATATATGAAATATTTGAATTAAATTTATTTGCGGATTATTCATCGTCTAATTTTAGCTACCCCGTCGTTTTATGAGGCTATTTATGTATGCCTCAATATAAACGTCTTTAAAAGGTAAAGAAAAGTTGTCCCTCCAAAAAAATTAAAAATAAAATTCCGGCAATTTCTATTTTTATATCAATTATGTTTGCTGTCTGATAAAATTCGGTCTTTAGTGAATGTGCTGACTGATGAATGGCACCAAATATTTTAAAATAAAATACATGGAGGTCAAAAAGAAAATAAGCACTTGAAACTGCCAAAGTTATAAATCAGATGCAAATAAAGTTATTGCTATAATCATATTGATTGAAAATAAATTCAATTTTTCTTACAGTGTATACAATTTTTGCATAAAATAGTTAAGCAAGTACTATAACAAGAAGAATTTTAAGTAAATAACTTTTACTATTTCACTATTTTTTCATGTTAAAATTATTTATATCAGAATTCATTGGAATCCAGGCAGAAAAAATATTTCATTGAAATATTTTTAATTATTTGCAATAAAAATAACAGAAGCTACAGGCTAATATCACGGTGATAAACAATATTTGCACTCGCTGGGAAAACCAGGAACAACTAAAGATGTGTGTATCAATAACTAAAACATTTATAAATATATCTTCAATTTAAGACAACGCACATCTTTTGCTTTACCTACCTTCACATCACCAAACATTTCTACTAGATCATGTGATTCGCTGCCAAGAGCTAAATGGTACAAGATATCTTGGTCCATGAGTTCGATGTGTGGGTTCCTCAACCGTACGGTTCCATCTGGGTATCTGTAACAAAAAGGGGTACATTAAAAGAAGATAGAGAAACTGTAACATTTGTTTATTGATAAATAGGTATATACAGGGTGTAGATATTTTACACTTTTAACACCCTGTATCTCCGTAGGGAGGCGTCCTATCAAAAATTTTTATAGGGCAAACCTTAATTACTTACATCAGTAGAATATGCCATTAAAGTTTGGCTAAACCTATCATTTACATCTTATATAATAGGTATTAAAAAGATAATTATTATTAGAGTCTTTCGGAAAAGAGTTATATTTTTTTGGTCAGATATTGATGAAGATGATAAAAAAACAAATCAACGAGATACACCACAATTTTAAAAGATGCAGCTCCTGTATGTTATTTTCTTGCCTTTTATTAACACCCTGTATAGTATCTTTAAAATTTACGGTAAGAAAAAAACCAATAAATATAGCTTTCAATTTAAATTCTTTGATTATGTACTTTTCTTTATAAACAATAACCAAACAGTTGATTATTTACACATTTAGTGAATTTTAACTTTCGCGAAATCACTAGTTCAAGTTTTATGAGTCATTGTCACATATCTTCAGAGAATTTGCTATACAGGGTGTAAGAAGTTTGACTGTCATTACATCAGCATGAGATAGAGTAATTATAAATGAACAAAAAAGTTGTATATTAGAGGAGCGCAAGATTAACAGTTTTCAAAATACAGCGAGTATTAATATTGGGGAGTTTCATCACAACGCGACAACAGCGCTTAACCCAACGCTACACAGTTGATGCATGCGGCAAACTTGTCCTATGGAAAAAATGTAAACAACTATTATTGTGAAAAACATTTAATAATTAAATTGTAATTTTCCGTGTGACTTCAAATATGCATACGAATGATGAAAATTTTATCACAGGAAAATGTGATAAATCTAAACGTGCTATCTTTCCAAGTAGAGGTGTCGACATTGACCTCATGAGCAAAATTTAACCCTGACAAATTACCTTTAACTATCATTAATATTGATAACAATGTCACGACAGGAGCTCGTTCTCGATAAATTTATTGTAAATAACTCGCAAGTCAAAGTTTAATTGGACAGTCAATTGGACTCAAATTATAAATAGTTTTCAATACGTACAAATATTACTAGGAAGTTTGTTATATAAAGAAAATAATTTATTATTTTAATCGAATTTATATGAATACCACTTAACAGAAACACTCAAAAATTAGGTCAATATTAAAGGTGATAAAATCAACAATTGATTATTATTTATTGTTTTGTATGGCCTTATCTTTGCTAGAAATCTTATTAGTCTTGCATTTTTCTCACCTGTTTTAAATGTTCACAATAATATCAAGAGATATAAATACTGGAATATCATTTTATTAGTAAATCCTATAAGTAGGGATTTATTTTCTGTAATATCTTTATGAACAAGGTGACATTATCTTTAAATGTATTATGTGTGTTATCTTTTTTCTTTAAGATAAGATCGTTCAAAAATTCTGTGAAAGCAAACTACGAGTAGAATATAAACATTTTGCATCCCTTTCGGAGAAAATTTTCCTGAAACATCATATTCTGAATCAGATCAAATGAAGATAACAAAGTTGTCAAATTATCCCGATTGTTTTCAATGGAACACCTTGTATATATTCTGTTGGAACTGAGTGACATAAAGTTTGAGAAATGTAAAATAACACAATAATTTAAATAATACAAAAACAAAAACTGAACTGTCCAATGTACTTGGGTTAATAAAAAAATCAAATAGAAATTTATTGCAGATAAACCCAGAACAGCGACATCAACCAGTTTTTTTCCATTCTTACTGTTTTAAAAAACCATATCTGAATCGCTTCTAATTTATACCATCCTCTAAATTGTAAAGGTCAAGTTTAAAGACATTAATCAAGGTCGACACAGTAGAGTCTAAGGTAACCTTGATTTGTATATAGTATATTGTAATGGTTAATGGTTGGTTACTACAGTGCAACGAGTATTAACAATAAAAAATATTTGCTTTATTCTTAGGAATTGTCTCACTATTGTTGGTATTACTGTAATGAACATAGTTCACGTAAAAGGAATGACCTTACAAATTGGAAATATTGCTTTTAATATACACACAATGAAGGGATATAGGTTTAAAGAAAGTATACTGATTTATTCCAAATATTGTTGATTGTTTATTGTTTATTGAAATAAAATACCCAACGGGCAGAGCCCAATTACAGGATAAGTTCAAATATCGATCGATCGATGAGACTTGAGTTAAAAAAAATCAGAAAGAAAAAAAGTAACTTTAGATCCTTGATTCAATAAAGCTTTTTGGTCTAAAAGGAACAATCTCACGATGTTATGACATGGACTGGAAAACGCCCTGTATATTGGCAATATTGGCTTATTCTCAATCAATATGAATAATTATTTATATCATAGACTGGGTCACATGACAACTTTCTGTAGATTTGAGTGCCAAACATATTGAAACTGTCAAATATTTTGTCAGGTGAGAATTATGCAATAAAACTATTGTACCATTCGACATTTTCTCCTTCATAGAACAATAAAACTAATTTAAAACTGCGAATTCTAAAGAGTAAGGAAGTGTTTTTTTATATTTATATTAAATATTATTATTCATTCATGATATAACGTGTTTTTTAAGAATTTACTTACAGGAATGTCATAACGGTATGTATTACTTGCCTACAAAACTGTTACGAAACCTATTTTTCTATACCAAAAATTCTTTCATTCCAACGACTCGATATTTGGTTACTGATATCTTCTGTACCTCGTTTTCGCCGCTTTACAGGTTCCTTCTTCGCATTCACGTTCCTCTGTACTTTCACTGCTGCTGCTGCTACTTCTGCTGCTGCTGCTGCTGCTACTGCTCTCGTAATAATCGCAATGATTCTGGCTTTCCTGCATTTTATACACAAACAACACTAAACTAATTCGTTCCCTGCAGGAACGTAACTTTAACTAATAACGCTCTTATGAAAGGAGATAATGAAATATTTTAAGAGAAACTTTCTTGGTACCGTAAAAACGTAACTGTTATACTGCTGTCAAGAGAAAGTTTAGGCAATGCTGTTCACTTGCTTGATCTTACAATAAAAATTGGCAAGCGGTAACGAAAATGCGAATATAATTGGTTCCGCACGAGGTCTTATGCAAATTTTTTGGTGACGGAGGTACTGAAGCTAATGACAAAAAAAAATTACCTGCTCTGTGTAAGGACTCTTTGTCGTACGATTACCTTGATGAGTTTGTGATTTATTTGTTTCGTAATTCTTGGAGAATTTGCTGAAAACAAGTTTTTTCGCCTACAGGTGGCCTTTTTATTACAAAGTTCTGTACCTATGACGCAAATGTCTTCCTAATAGTTTTTATAGGCAAAAAATTAAATTATTGCACTAAAGTTATACGGAAATATGCCCATTTCAAGAGATCGTAGTTCCAAATATCCGTAAAAAGCTCTCACTAAGCCCAATATATTCTTTATGACCTCAAATTCGACACAAAATTGATGACATCGAATCATTATTTAAAAAATGTAAGAAAAAAAATGTCATTCTCAGTAGGTCACTGCGTATGCTGACGAAGAGATATATTTTTTCTTGGAAAGTTTTTTTTTTCGTAAAATCCGAAATTGTTCGAAATTGATTAATTAAATGTAAAATAATTATTTTCGATAACTCATAAACAAGTTCAAAGTCTGAGTCAGGTAGCAAACAGGTAAAAGACGGTAATTCCATTCGTGATTAAGCTCAGCTGTTGCTACCGGATGCTACACATTTTAATTTGTGGGGGTCCTAACATAGCCAAGAAAAATTCAAGCCACACAAAAAAAAGTTGGCTGTACTTTTCATGCGACATATGACATATGTTATCCGTAGCATTTTTGCCTCCTGATCACGAATCCGTTGTTAGAATTGAGATATCACATCACAGGAATCTCCTAACTTCAAAAAACTGGTTAAAAATAGCAAAAATTCACGAAAAAGTGCTAGGAGAAATACAAAATATTTTTTTTATATATTCAGTTGTTCATTTATATGGCAAAGACCCCGCTGAACGTGGATCCGCGGTTAGAATCTGTTATTTTTTGAACATTTGGTTGGCCATCTTGGATCCGCCATCTTGAATTTTGCAAAATTGACCACGGATCCGTGATCAGCGACCCTGAAAACCCCCGTATACCAAATTTGGCGCGAATCTGTTATTGTTTGAAACTTCGTGATATCTGACCTTAATTGTCCCGTTTTTTTTTTTTTTTTGAGGTTAGAAAAAGAACCATCTATTCTGACCGCGGATTCACGTTCGGCGGTGTCTTAACCATATAAATGAACACTTGAATATAGAAACAACATTTTTTTGCATTTTTCCTAGCACTTTTTCATGAATTTTTGCTACTTCTGACCTGTCTTTTGAGGTTAGGAAATTCCAGCTTAATTCTGACACCGGATTCGTGATCAGGAGATAAATATGCTACGGATAACATATGTCGCATGAAAAGTACAGACAACTTTTTTTATGTGGCTGTTATTTTCTATTAAACTAATCAGATAAATATGTGGGGTACCCAAAATAACATAGTTTTGTCTAAATGTGATTCGCCAATATAATTCCTAAATCTCTTTATTCGTTCTCTGCCATTACATTTACGCGAGAGCAGGTAGGTAGTTTATAACTTTTGTAACCTGACTTTATCTCTTCTCTCGTTCAATCAAAATTACGAAGGTTAGCGTTTATCTCTTCAAGTGTCTATTTCAGCTTTTTACTGATATATATCACATATATGCAGTAAATAATAACCTGGTGGTGGGCAAACTTATGTAATTTGTTGAGAGGTTTCTTCTATATCTAGAACAGACTGGGGCTCGATTTTCGAGAAAATTTAAGTAACTATAATAGCGACTCAAACGAAAGATATTTCATTTTTGGAAGTTTTTTGTGCTGCCCATAAACCTTATTTATATTTGCTCACTCTATACAAACTAAACAACTTGGTTTATTCGAAAAACTTCGTCATCATCCTTTTTTACGAAATAACAAACGTTATCTGTAATAATGATCCATTATATTTGTATCAAAGGTCTAGGTAATTTGCTATAAATAGAAAGGTACATTTTAGCAAATATGAGAAATGCAAAAAAATGATTCTTCTCGAATGGAAAGAAGTCTTTGATGTACTTAATTTTCTAAACTCTGAATAACACCCCTACATAATTTTAAATATGAAGTGTATAACGATATATTGCTTAGCTTGATATATGAATTTAGCAATGAATCAAATATTATAAAGGTTCAAAGTAACGTATTTCAATTTTATTACTCACAACCTTCATCAATTTTCAACAATTTTAAATTGCGGCTTTGATTCTGCATTCGATTTAAGATTAAAAATAGTCTTTATTTGTGTCACATGTTATATTTACTTCACATCTAAATTTTTATCTTGAAAATATCGGACAATTTATTAAAGCAATATTATTGTCAGAGCAGGTTTTAAAAATTTTGATTTTTAGCAAAAACATCAACAAGTATGTTAAAAATTCTCACTCTTTCAGACTTACCCACTGTGGTATCGACACTTTTATAGCGGTTTGTTACGTTTACAGGAAATATGTGTCTTTTTGATAAAATGATGGGATTTCCGTTTATAGGTGATTTTAAGCAACCATTTCTAGCGTTTACAAGAGATAAAATGTATTACTCACAAAGTGGTTTGGTAATTAATGGTATAGATATATAAATAAAAACTTGTACCATTTTTCTTCACACTATTTTATATACAGGGTGTGTAGCACGTCTTTCTGTATAAATAAAAACAACTGCTCTCAAATTAGTTAAATTAGTCGTATTCACAACTAACTTGATACCACGTATTTTCAATCAGTTAACTGCAAAAACTGATTTAACTACTCTCTTCAATCAAAAACACTTTTCCCAGAATATTTACATCTTTTAAATAAAATTTAATGAATGCAAAAAATTCTGTTATAAAACAAAAAAAAAATATGCAATCTTTTTCTGGGCCAGTCTGTCGTCTTTTGAACTATGGGGCATCAAAAATTATATTTTAGAGTTTATAACTGTTCTGTTTCAAAAAGCAATGTATTTCATTGAAATCTGGTACAAGTAAATTTTGAGTTTATTAACCACGTTGGTGTTAGGTTTTAGGTTTTTACAATGTATGCAAATTTTCATTTTGCACAAAAAGGTGTTTCTGTTAAAATCACCAAAAACGTACCATTTGAATATTTTCCTAGAATTATAAACTGATTTAGTTGGTATACTTGCTATGCTCGACATAACCTTGATTGGGTCAAAAATATTTACAAGCCTTTTGAAAAGAATTTCTTTAATTTTCCTGTGTCTCAAAAACAAAAGATAGTAGAGTCATGGCGTACAAAAATGGCTTAGTTTTTGATGTTTTATCACCCTCTAATTATTTTGCACTAATTTTCGTGACATCCTGTATATATAAGACATCAATTAGCTCCGATTTAGCTACCCAAAGAGCGTATTCTACCTGTTTCCATTCAATATTTTGTATTGTTTCAATTTTTTTAAATAAATATGGTACATTTCACTTAAAAAAAGGGTTTCTCGGTATTTTCACAATTTTTTATTTACCTAGTCTTCACCACAAGTCCGTGTTCCTTCCTGCATTGGTATTTCTTCGCAAACTCCTCTTCGGATTCTTCAAAATCGCTCAAATCGTACACCACGTCAAAATAATCATCCTTCGAATACCCATTGAGATGGGAATGCCCATTGGTACCCTTAGAACACCCGTTCCCGTTGGTCTGCATTATTCCCAAACAAGTATCACAAGAAATTAAAATCACAGTAGGTATCCACACCAATTCGCGCGGCCTACTGACACTTGTGGACGGTCAGAGATACGGACTTATCAACTTTGTGCAATTCATTCGCGGATCTCATAACGTGTTTTTTTCCCAGTTTTCAATCCTATAGAACAAACACGGCTATCGCTGTGAGCAAACACTTGCATATTGTGGATGACTATGACACATCCGACGTACCCAGTGGTCTGATATATACCTGCGAAGCGCGATCTTTTGTAGTTTAAAAACCCCCGTGTACATCTGCTACTTCATTGTTGTGCTATGTGCAAGGCAGTGGGGTGAACCAGGTAGATTTTGATGACTTAGTATGTCGTTCGTAATTCGTGGATGTCCCTGAGACACACATGTCCAAAGCGACCTTGATATCAATTATGTTTATCGTACTGGATGATTAGCTGATAAGATCAATGCGTAAGCTTGGACCCTGAGCGTATATCATTCTGTTTTCATCCAAAATATGAAGAAAAAAGAATTCATATTGACAGCAACAGATCATTGAAACTATACGTGTATAGTGCGATAAGCCATTAAGATAGAAAAATATTAATCGCATATTTACGCGAAAAAAAAATAATTTCATGTTTATACCCCTTTTCTGACCGCTCATGACCGCTGACCCACAAAGGTGTATTGAGAGAGAATCTTGACCTACTGTAATACGCGGTCATTAACTTAGCTTTTAATGCGTTTTTAATACGTAGTGAACGACGAATAAACAGCTTTGTTTTATAATTGAGTGAGTTTTTAGTATTATGATTAATTACCTAATTATTCACTTTGTAGTACGTATATCTTTATAGTGTGCTAGTATGGTACTTGCTTATTTAAGAACACTCATCCGCCAATAGCAGTTTGTTAATAAAGTTGGGGTTGGGTTTGAAACCAATTGCAAAATTCAAGGAGACTGGGGAAATCAGCTGTTTCGCTTCAACGTTTTTTCTTTCTTTTCTTTCGACTTTCTGTCTCTATTAGGCCTTCCGAATACTTGGTTAAAACTAATAACATTGTGACTCCTTGTATACTTAACGATTTACATGCGTTTTGGAAAAAGTTGGCCTAATTGGATGTTTACATATTCATTTAAATATAAACCTAGAGATTTTAAATCATACACACCTGGTAAAAAAGATATAAGTGACGTTATATGGCACAATAAGATAAGATTTTGTTCTCAGAAAGTTTAAATTTAATTATAATAGGGCATAGGTGTTAATCTAATGTAAGAGGTTTTCCTTAGTTCATTGTTCAGAGAACCTTAATGAAAGATATACAGGGTGGGCCACCAGTAACGCCTCGGTCTCTAGGGACCAAACGGCAAATGTTACAGAAACCTGTTTAGGTGGGTATGCGTAGGTTGATTACGGCTACATTTTAAAAATATTTTGAAATATACAGGGCGTCCAGAAAAAGCGTACCATATCAAATTTATGTATTTTTAAATGGAACACTCTGTATTTTACTGTATTTTTGAAAGCACCGTAAAAAAATAGGTGAACTTTATTAAAGCTTCTGCATACCTAGGACTTACAGTTTGTGAGATATTTCAATTTTAGTGAAAATGCAAACATAGCGTAGAAATTTAATATTGTAAGTGTAATAAGTCCAATTACAAAACTTTTCTGATTAGTGTCGTCTACCGCGCAGGTAAATAATATTTTCATTCCCGTACCATAAAAACAAATTTCATTAATAGTTTTTTAAAATGAGCCGTCGTTTCTTGAAATCGATTAAGGCATTTAGAAGTTATGACAATTTAAAAATTTCAAGATGGCGTCCTTCGTACTGGCGTTGCTATGGTAATAAAAAAAAGTTCAAACAAAACTTGTGAAGGGTTTAACAGTTTATCTAAAAAGTGAATTTTCAACTTAGGTTATACCGGGTGAGTCAGTTTTTTGTGGTAGGATTTTAACAGTTGATAGAGATTCATTTTTTAATAAGAAAAGTTCCCATAAACGTAGGTCTTAGAACGCTTCGTTTGTGAGATATAGGGTGTTAAAAACAAACTGTTTTTAAGAATTTTTCTTAATATCTCTAAAAGACCAACATATATTGAACTGAAATTTGGTATTAATAACACATTAGTTATGGTGCATAAGTGACTAATTGGCACACACGTTACACAATAGGCTTTTTTTCACTACTGAATATTGGTGAATATCCGACTTGTGGTCACTATTTTTATCATAGCTGTTATATGGTAGTTTAAATCTCTTCACTCACTCATATTACACATACCACAACATACTACTTCACTCGCGAAAAAAAGCCTTATGTTTGCGTTCTTATGTCAACGTTATCACATTTAATCGTTTTTGTTGATTTTCAGGGTACATCATATTTTTCTTATTACAAATGTATTACCAATATCGTTGGAACAGTTTCATGCCTAATGAATTTAACCAAAAACCGTTCATTTTATAAAAAATTGAAACAGAGCTATTTTGTTCAGAATTGATTAAAAAATTTAGAAATGATGTTATTTTCCAGAAAAATCCACGGGCATACAAATTGTTTTTTTAAAGGGGGCTGTAACCCACTTCAGGCACGTCACTGGTGTGTGAAATGGAAAACGGATATCTTTGTTTTATTCACCCTAACTAATGTGTTATGAATACCAAATTTCAGTTCAATATATGTTGGTCTTTTAGAGATATTAAGAAATATTCTTAAAAAAATTTTGCTTTCAACACCCTATATCTCACAAACGAAGCGTTCTAAGACCTACGTTTATAGGAACTTTTCTTATTAAAAAATGATTATCTATCAACTGTTAAAATCCTACTACAAAAAACTGACTGACTCACCCTGTATAAGCGAAATTTCGAAACACTATAGCAGTTGCGCCCTCTAGCGGTGAAGTTACAATCTTGAAAATATTTTAAATCAATTTCTTTTCACCGTATTTGTTAATAGATTTTTTACCCCATAATCGTAGCACGTCTAGTTTCCTATATACAGCCTCTCCGTATCGTTAATAGATCACCCTGTATGGTATGATAATCGTTAGTACCTATTATTATACTTTTCTAATATATTTCGTATTATTCATTTTGATTTTACCTAGTTTCCTTTGGATCTCTATATACTTTCACGCATTCGTACTTCTGCAAAAACTCTTCCTCCGTCTCTGAGTCGCTCAACTCGATGTCTACGTCGACTTGTTCGTCATTCGAGTGTACACCACTACCCGAACACCCTTCCTTGCTTTGCTGCATGGTCAATCACGGCTGAATAAAATAACACCACAACGTAATCGCACGGTCTGTGGACTGCTGTGCGAATATGCAATTTATATACAATCCTCAAACCTTCGCGTTTTATCAAAGTAGTTATCAATTTTCAGAAATTCAAGCGCAAATTGAGGATACGCGAGGCTTTTCCCGCGTATTCAGAGGTGATAAGTAAACATTCATATCGGCAGAGCAAACTTAGCACACCGTAAGGGGACCGAACTGTCTCTTTTTGCATGCAAGCAAGCCTCGTCGGTCGACTGCATCGTGGGAATTAAGTAGGGTTATAATAACAATGCAGCCTTTTCAAGGTTCTGCATCTTGGGATCCACCCGAAGGAGTTGCACTACATTTGTCGCCAGTGGCGTGGCCGGGGGGTGCCGGGATGGGTCTAACCCTCTACTTTTGACGTGAACAACTCTATAAAATCGATCGTGAAGGCAGATGGTAGAAATTGTGATGTACATACGTTAAGAAAAATGTATAAAAAGACGAGAAAACAATTTATATGCAAACGTTTAGTTTTCAAAACACAGGTGTTAAAATTTTCGTAAAAAATCTGTTTCTGTTTATATCTTCCAAACGGGGTAATCAAATCAATTGAAATTTGGTACAAGATATAGTCTAATAAATAATTTGGCAATGATATATGATATAGTTCAGAGGCGGCGATTCAGGGGCATCGTCATCTATTTTGATCGGTAATTTTACACAACTGAAATTTACGGCCGGTCGCCCAGTGCGGCTGTGTTTGTGCGCCGTTTGCCCGCGCGTGCATGTAGCGACCGAACCTGGTACATACTGCCTAGCTCTTTGTCCTCCAATTGAGATCAGAAAGACTGTACCATTCATTTCTCTTATTTTTAATACCCTGCATAAAACGAATTTATAGGAACATTTACCGTGTCACGCCGAAAAGAAATAAAAGCACCATTTTCCCCATTTTGTTGGCTTTTAATTTTTTTTGTTACTTTTAATATAAAAACCCTTTGATTGGACCATTGCAATATGTCTTGATCACTTTGTGACTTTGAAAAGGTCACTCTATTTATAAAATTCAATGAATAGGCGTGGAACACTTACAGGGAAGATAATTTATAACCTATTTATTTATAATGATAACTTATCTGTGTCTTGATTGTTGCAAAAATACTGTTTTATCTTGAACTTAATCCATCATATCGAAAAAATGTGCAACGCGATTGACAAAATACATTCAGCAAAATTTTCCTCGTACCTTCTTTGATAATTGAACATCAAAGCATATTTCGAAAATAAAAAAAAATATTATGTATGAACAGGGGTATGCTAGGCTAATGAATTTTGTCTTGATTCGTCATACAGTAAAACAATATCCATTAATTCTACACTGCTATAAACACAGGCCATTTTGAACACTTGCTAGTCTGATGTAAACAATAAATCACGGTAATAAGAGCACTGTGAATACCACAGTGATACTGAATAGTTAGGAATTTGTTAAATTAAATCAGCTGAATCTACCTGTAGGGACATTTTAATACAGCCTACAGTCGGCCGGTTATACAGGGTGATTCTCAAATTATCCAAAAAAAAATTGGGAATAGATGCGGCTGAGTAAAATCCTTATAGTTTCCGAGAAAAAAATTATTTAAGTTGTAGTACATCCAACCATTAACAACTGTAGGACAACTGTAGTCTTCTTTACAAAAGTGTATTTGTAAGAGTCCCCTGTACATCCAGAATTTTTTTTTGGATAAGTTCTGAATCACCCTGTATAGTGTTTTTAAATATAACAATTTTAATTTTTTTCTGGAAATTATTTCGAAATAAATATTTCAATATAATTTTTTTAGTGATATAGATTCTGTTTTGACATACATGCAATGCATATACAGGATGTATCGTTTGTAACTCGTTATTTTG